CCATTTGCTTCTTAAAATGAAAAAAGGAATAGATCTTACAGAAGAGATCTGGATGGTAAAGCAGTATGGAGTGGCATTTGACTATTCCAGAAATGATCCTTCTGTTATTCCATACAGTACTGCATAGCTTTCGGCTCAGCTGGTCTGCATAATAGGGGAGAGCCTCCCTGCTAAGCCAAGCAACTCCTTTTTGCTTCGAAGAGCATGTAAGGCATGCATGGTGGTAGATTAGCACAATTATCAAGTATCAGTACTGACTTAGTATTTGTCCCTGGCCTTTTCCATCTTAACTTAAGGAAAGCCTGTTTTGTGACTGTCTGTCTGCCCGCCCCTCTCTCTGAGAGGAACTGGGGTTAATGGTTTATTAATAGTTTGTGTTGTACGTAGAACATCACAGACTTGCTACATGCTCTTGACTTAAGCAATTTTTGCAATTTTATATACATGCTGTTTCTTTCACTGTTTAAGCTCTTCAGCGTATGAAGAGCTAACGAAGCAGGCATCGTTAATGGTGTTTGGATTTTTATGGTATGATAATTTTTTCTTAAATAAAAAACCCCCACACAATCTTTTTGCATGTTTCACATAACATGAATAACATGGAGGTATGGGTTTTGTCTTTAATTTTCAATATTTGTGTCATGGCCAGTAGTTGTTTTAGGACTACAGTTATCCACCATAAAGAGACCAGTGACTTGCACTTGTTCCACGAAACGAAGAGTTGGTGCTGTCTGAGATTCTGAGCCATTGCAGTGAATGCTGGGGGAGATGGAGTTTGGGAAAAGCTGAACCAATGTGTATGCCCATAATGAGAGAACTCCTTTACGTATTTTGCTTTTACCTGCTTTTTAAATGCAATGGGCACGGGTACTTAAATGTTAAGTCAGCTATACTTAAAGTGTTTGGAAAAGAGTAACATGAGCTGCAAACAGATTTTCCTAGACAGCAAGTAATTAATTTCCTTTTTATTATTTTATTTCTGTTTTCCTCTTTCCTGTCTTCCATGTTTCTTCCCAAACAAGTACTGAATCATCCCTTTTGGTGTGTGCTTACTTGAGGATGGGGGTGGAATGAAGGGAGGAGTGGAATTGTGGATGGGTAGTTTGAGGAGAACAGTTGTCCAAAAATACTAGCAGCTTCTCTGATAACTGCGGAGCCTTGAAGTTAAAGCCTAGGGGAGAAGCATGAAAATTACTTTTACCTCAGCGTTTAGTTCAGTCAGCGTGTTAAGAAGTTGACTGTGAAGAATAAAACAAAATCATCTGGAGAATATAGCTATGGGTTTTCAAGACATAAAAATAACCTGGAAACACCAAATGCTCAGAACTGATGAAGAGAAGTACTGCATCACACTGGAGGGCAAGCAACTTTGTCTGTGCGTCCATTGAGTCCAAAAGTGTGCAAGAAGCCAGAAAACCTTGGATAATTAGTTCTATTCTGTACATATCTGGATTTAAACAAATTCCTTTATACTGGGGGCTGAGAAGGAAGCTTCATGTAGG